ACACCACCCCGCGTGTATGAGGGCCCGGTACGACGCTCCGGTGGAATTGCTACCCCCAGGGCCCCCGTCCCGCCTAATCCTTTAGCGTTTCACCACGAGATCTAGCCCTTTGACTTCCCACGGACGGGCTTTGACCAGTGGACCTCTCCACCTGGTTGTGTCGGGTCGGCCGAGAGGGACACCGGGGAGCAATATCCGGGCCAAACCCACAGCTAAATCCACTCCGTGTAGACCCGACGCGTCCGTTTCCCCGCTCCAAGTTCGGGCGGCGGCGCCGTCCGTGAGGGAGGCCACGCACCGGAGACGCGTACCGCCTCTTCGGACATGCCACAACACCACCCAGTTGTCAACACGTACTATATGTAAGTTAGTCAAATAATAATATTGAAGAAAACATAAAATATAGCTATGAAAAAAAAGAAAAAAATAACAAGTGGAGGGGGTGACCGGGAAGTGGATAAGGGAACTATGATAAAAAGATCGATGACGTGGTAAAAAAAGAAAAAAAAACTATGAAAAAAATATAGATATGAAAAAAAGAAAAAAAGGAAAAAAGGAAAAAAGAAAAAAAAACTATGTCGACGGCAAAGCCGTCGGCATAGATGCGGCATAGGGCAGATGGCCGGCGCGCTGCGGATCGATGATGTGGCATCTATGCCGACGGCAGCCGTCGGCATAGGTGGTGGTCGGTGCGCCTCGGATCGATGACGTGGTAAGGGCATCTATGCCGACGGCCTCCCGCCCCGGCCGTCGGCATAGATCGGACGCCGTTAGCCGCACGGCACGGCGGGATCGCCGGGCCCGCAACTATGCCGACGGCCAAGATATGTCGACAGCCGCTGTAGGCGTAAGTTTGGGTAAGCCGACGGCCTTTCTGGGCCGACGGTCGCCGTCGGCATATGTCTGGATAGCCCGACGGCTTTATTACGCCGACGGCCTGGACATGGCTGTCGGCATAGCCCTGACAAGGCCGACGGTGGCCGTCGGCATAGATTTGGCCGTCGGCATAGGGCCCTGTTCCGGTAGTGTTTCCACTGCAATGTGGGTGCAAATTTTTGCTCCTGGAACTTTTAATTAAAGGACGAGTTGATTGTGCCCCGCAGCCCAGTACTACAAGAGAAGGAAAGTCTACAACCAAGCCAAAACAAGAGCTAAAAAATGATCAGATATCCGTCGATGCCTCCATGGTGGTTGCTGCTGCATTTCCTGGTCGCGGTTCTTGCCGTGGATGTTGAGGGCCGACATGATAGGTACGCCTGCCCTCCTTTTTCTTGCGGCCATCTCCAGGGCGTCCACTACCCTTTCCGCCTGCAAGGCGATCCAATCGAGTGCGGTTCTCCGTCATACGAGCTGGCTTGCGCCGGCGACCGGGCTACAATTCAGATCAACACAGGGACATACTTGGTCACCGAGATCGACTACGAACTTTTGAACTTCTGGGTCGTGGACGCCAACCTGGACATGGGCAGCAGCTGCCCTCTTCCTCGCTGGGACCAGCGCTCTTACCTAAATGGTCTCCAGCGACTCGACTGCCTCGTCGAATTGATGACCTCCCCCGGGGTTACATGGGCCAACTTTGTGAATTGTTCGCGGCTGATCACCAACAGTAGTGACTACAAACCGGTGGATTGTCTGAGCACCAGCTCTTCCTTCGTCTATGTGTTGATGGACTCTTATTCTGTTGGGAAGCTTAAGGCTTCTTGCGGCTACTTGGCCATGGCTGCTCTGGGTGATCGGAGCATCCCATATGATAACGCAAGCCACGAAACTGTGGTACGATCCCTCAGGGGAGGATTTCCTGTTTGGTTTCCTTTCAGATATGAGAGGAGGTCGGGCTTCATGGGCTGCCCGAAGGATAAGATTGTGTGAGTTTGTGATCTATACGTACGCACACCATGCTTCTGTTCTGGAACATGCATATATGCCTGACTTCTCTACATTTTCTCCATTGTATTGCAGTCCACGCCCTGGACAATCAATGGATTATCTTGTCATGCATTGGCTTATGACCATTCTTACGGTTGATTCTGAAATCTTGTCTTGCGCATTTGTAGCACATAATTTTTCTTCGAGTGAACACCTTCGCCTGCTACACTTTATAATAGTATACTCCCCGTCGATATTGAAGTTCATTGCTGGTACGCACGCCAGCAGAGTTACACATATGTACTAGCTATGGTAGTAGTTTCTTGGCAATCCCACATAAATAAAATTGTTCTATATGTGCAGGAGTATGCAGGTTCGTGGTTGCTCCCCTGGTGGTACTATTCTTCCTGGCCCACAAATATTGGAAAACAAGAATCACAATCGATGCGGTCGAGAAGTTCTTACAAATGCAGCAAGTGATCGGCCCAACAAGGTATGCTTACACAGATATTGTCGCGGTCACAAGCCATTTCAGAGACAAGCTGGGTCAGGGAGGCTATGGCTCCGTCTACAAGGGCATTCTGCTCCCAGGCGATGTCCACGTGGCCATCAAGATGCTGGACGGTAAATCCTGCTGCGACGGAGAAGATTTCATCAGTGAGGTCTCCACCATCGGCAGGATCCACCACGTCAATGTGGTCCGTCTGGTCGGGTTCTGCTCGGAGGAAATGAGGAGGGCACTAGTCTACGAGTATATGCCCCATGGTTCTCTTGATAAGTACATCTTCTCCGCCGAGAAGAGTTTCTCCTGGGACAAGCTCAGTGAGATTGCCTTGGGCATTGCTAGGGGGATCAACTACCTGCATCAAGGATGCGACATGCAGATTCTACACTTTGATATCAAGCCGCACAACATCCTTCTTGACACCAATTTTGTCCCAAAAATTGCTGATTTTGGCCTTGCCAAGCTATACCCAAGGGACAACAGTTTTGTGCCGTTGAGCGCCTTACGGGGAACAATCGGGTACATAGCTCCTGAGATGGTATCCCGGAGCTTTGGCATCATATCTAGCAAGTCAGATGTTTACAGCTTCGGGATGCTGCTGTTGGAGATGGCTGGAGGACGCAGGAACGCGGCAAACTCAAGCCAGGCATTCTACCCATCATGGGTGTATGACCGGCTAACTAAACATGAACCGGGTGAGATATCTGCTGAGATGCATGAATTGGAGAGGAAGCTGTGCCTTGTTGGTCTGTGTTGCATCCAGATGAAGTCCCACGATCGGCCAGAGATGAGCGAAGTCATAGAGATGCTCGAAGGGAGCGTTGATAGCATGCAGGTGCCTTCAAGGCCATTCTTCTGTGATGATGAGCACAGCCCTGTAGTGGAGCCTTACCATTTCCTCTCTGAGCTGACTACCATTTCGGAGGAGGGTGAGTGAAATTTCCTTTATGTTCGATGAAGTAAATTATTACGAGGCGACAAATCTTGTGAAAAGTTGCAGTAATGGTTGTTATGAACTATGGAATGTGAATGTTTTATACAGCACTCTATATTATAAGCCATGCTTTCTGTGAATGTTCATCCGAAATACAAGCACATTATGTGTATCGAGTGTGAGATTTCATTTATCCCATTGCCCAAAAGGGTGTGAACAGTCATGAATTTTTTTGAAGAAAAATGAACACCAGAGGATTATACATGGGGAAAATGTAGTACGTACATGACATATTTTCTGAACTGATGGCGTGCTGCAGTTTTTTCTTCTGGCGCTGTTTGTTGGTTTCCAATGCCTGTAGCTCCTGATGGCACATCCTTGCAGCCTAACTGAAGAAGCATGAAACCATGAAACTATTCAACACGTTATGACAAAATGGCATAAAAAATCGGAATCTGCAACCTACTAGGAGTAGTTGTTTTTCAGTTTGCAATTACTTTCAACAGATCAGGTGTGCACTTGTTTTTCAGTGAGGTTTGCTTCTCTGTTGTCAGTGCAGCCGGGCAAAATAACTTACTTATAAAGGAAGATTCGATGCGTGCTTCGCTGTGCGGCATAATATTTGGATTTGACATGAATTACATTTCATCACGTATAGATCCCATAGATGATTAAAGAGCGCTTGAATGTTGGAGTAATAAATTTGGAGGAAACTTGTGTTTTTAGGGGTGAGGCAGCTTGCCTCTAATTGCGTACATGTGTGGGGCGCCGCCGAGAGGAGGTGCGGGGAAAGGAAGGAGACATGCCCCTCGCCGCCGCATCCAGGTCATCGTCGCAGACTTGCCGTCGCCTTAACCTCCCCTTTCGCCGCCGCCGCCATTGGCCTGCTCTCGCTTGCACGCGCGTGGCGCTGGCCTGCACAGGAGTCCCGACGGCAGATTACTGAGCTGCTCGAGCGGCGGCGGATCTCACTTGCCACTGGGGCGAAGTCTTACTGAGCGGCGGCGGATCTTACTGAGCGGCGGCAGATTACTGAACATGGTGGGCCTTTTCAAAGAGTAGGGCGACTTGGATCTCGGCCAAATTTTTGAAAAAAAAAATCAAATATTTTTGGTTTAAAAAAAATCTGAAAAAATTGTATAACTAAACGAGGATGTGAGGTGTATCTGTGTAAAAGTTCAGGATGAAATTCGTTGAAATGCGACCTGCAAAAAAGAGACAAATTCATGGTCTGGCAGAATGAATAGTATCATGTGTTAAAAAGCCCCCCCCCCCTTTTTGCACAGCCCTCATTTTAATGTATTTCATCTTGAAAATTTACACAATTGTGCATTATGCCTTCACCTATATATGTATTTTTGTCAGAATTTTTTGAAATGTAAAAATATGAATTTTCTTGAATTTTGAATTTTACATTTGGAGGCCTCCATGAAGCTCGGCCTCCAAAAACAATTTTTGCTTTTCAAGGCTGACTATTAGGGCAGAGTATACAATTAATTGTTTTGAATTAATGAGGATCAATTCAAGCACCTGCATTAAAGTAAAAAAAAATGGCCACAAAAAAGTAAAAACAAAGAGGACAATGCTAATGATGTAAAGAAATGTAGTACATGGAGTATAAATCAATTGTAGATGGTCCAAAAAAATTCAAAAACAATTTTCTGCAGAATTAGAAAACAATTTTGATGTTTATGTTAAGAAGGCCCTAGGTTATAATTTCACATCAGGCCCTCAAAATCTCAGGACCGGCCTAGAGCAGCGGCGTCCGACAAGGAGGATGTGGATGCAGAGAAGGAGGGAGCAGGGAGGAAAGTGGTCCGCGAAGGAGGGTTTGAGTGAACGAACGGTGGTCCGGATGCCTGCAAATCTCCACCAGTTTGCGTCCGGTTTGCAGAAACTCAAACAAACGGACACATCGACGGACAAATACGGATCTATATTAAAGAGACAAACTATGTCCAAATAGCTCGGTCCGAACGTAATGCAGACATCTTAGAGGAGATGCCCTTACACTACACGCGCACTGTTTTTATTTTGTTTCCCTTTTTCTCGCTGGCAGTGCATCGATGGATCATAAATTACAAGTGGAGCCGGTGCACCACACCTCATCATCACGACACTTATTTCAGCGGACACAGCTGCTACCTTCGCGACAGTGCCACTGGCCCAGCTTGCCTCGCCTTCCTGCCATGGCACGCTCACAGGTCGCGGATCGAATACGGTCAATTGGACAGCGACATTTCCACTTTCATTACCGGGGTACTGATTTTTTGACCGAACACAAGTTGGCAAGAATACAATGTTGCCGGATAAGTACAACTTAATCGGTTGGCTATTTGTTCGATTATGACGGAATTTAAATACGTCCAAAAATGAAACTCGTTGAATGGAAGATATAATTCATGTCACTGTTATGTGTTAATTTGGATACATGAATAATAAGTTTTTTTTCGAACACGCAAAAGCTTTGTGTGCCGATGCATTAGAAGGAGAAGAAAAGAGAATGTATAAAGAATGTGCCGTCGCAAGACTGCGGGTACTGACAAGACCCACACGATGGCTTATGTCGACCGACCATCAAACCGCACAAATATACACAGACAACACCGGCAGCTAGCAACGACCTAAGGGATCCCAGTTAGGGTCGAGAGCCCAACCTCCATTGAGAACGTTGCTAGCTGTCTGGATGGACAATCACCCTATGGCGGACAATCATTTTGCACTGGAGAGCACATCTAGAGCTCGATCTCCACCGAGATTTGTCGCCATAGCTCGTGGGCGACCCCATCGACCTTTGAAAAATGCGCCTATCCGCTCCTTACAAAGCATCGATACCGTAAGAAGCGCGGCGGAATCAAATCCTCTGTGTTGCGACTTTGGGATTCGTGCACGAGACTCCGGCCACCAATCGATGGTGTGGAGTCCGGCAATGGAACCATGTGTCTCAAGCCGCAGGGAGAGAATGACATGTCATACCTTACGGAGAAAACACACCCAACGGTGAGGTGGTCCCTAGTCTCATCGTTCTGATCGGACAACCCTATTATGCATGGGCCAGGAGAGGGGAAGGTGGGCAAGTCGCATTAGAAGGAAAACAAAAAAGAACGTACAAAGAATGCGCCATCGTGAGACCATGATTACTGACGAGACCCACACCATGGCTTAGGTCGGGCGACCATCAAACCACACAAATATACACATACAACGCCGGTGCAACTAGGAACGACCTAAGGGATCCTGGTTACACTGGCGGAGCCACGGCAAGGCCGAATGGGCCGTGGCCCACCCAGATTTCTGCAATTTATACACTGTTTTTTTACTTCTGGGCCTTGGAACACCAACCCACAAGATGTTTTCCCTCTGTTTGGCCGGCCCAGCCCGCCCAACAATGGGTTTGAAGCTCCGCCACTGCCTTGTTAGGGTCCAGAGCCCAACCTCCATTGAAAACGTTGCTAGCTGTCTGGACGGACAATCACCATATGGCGGACAATCCTTTTGCACTGGAGAGCGCATCCAGAGCTCAATCTCCATCGAGATTTGTTGCCATAGCTCGTGGGCGACCACAGTCGCCCTTCGAAAAATGCGTCTATTCCGCTCCCCTAGGGAGAAAGTATCGTATCCCTAGGGAGAAAGCAGAAACCACAGTCATGGGCGACCACATGTGTCAAAAAGTATCGTATCCTCTTTCCCTAGGGAGAAAGCAGAAACCATTAACAAGTGGAGGTTCGATCTCTCACCCAAAGAAATTAAAGGGTTGGAGGATTATACCCCTAGTCCTCCCAGTTCATCAGAGATCACGTTCAAATTTGACACATGTGTCTATTTCATAAAGGTGAAATATTCTGTCAGTCTAGCAAGATGCCTATGATGTCATTATCGGTCTTACTATTTATCAGCTCAATTTCACGAAGGTACCCGGCGTGTGTTTCTCCAAAAAATCCATGGGGCCACAGATTAGTTAGTCTGTCCTCTCAAATACATATAATTAAACAATACGTCAAGGATTAATTAGCCGTATTCTTTTAGGTAAATAATAATTAGTGGGTTAATCGGGTCGTCCCCGCACCCGCAGAAAAATAATAAAACGGCGGTCCAGTCGTAGGGGAGGGGAGGCAGCCCAGCAGCGGAGCGAGACGGACGAGCGCCACCGCCTCCCCACCAGAAAGCGGCGCGGCAAAAGGGACTGAAACCCTAATCCCCGCGCGCCACCGCCTCTCTCTCTCTCTCCCGGCGCCCAGATCCGGCCCTCGCCCGCGATGGCCGAGGCTCCGGCGGCGAGCCGCAGGGCGGAGGAGGCGGGGAGCCGGCGCCGCGCGGAGGAGGAGGCGGAGGCGGCGGCCGCCGCCGACGGGGACGGGGACAGCAGCGTCTACACCTCCGAGGACGAGGGCACGGAGGACTACCGCCGCGGCGGCTACCACGCCGTCCGCCCCGGCGACACCTTCAAGCAGGGCGCCTACGTCGTGCAGTCCAAGCTCGGCTGGGGCCACTTCTCCACCGTCTGGCTCGCCTGGGACACCGCCCACTCCGTACGTGCTGACCACCCCCTTCGCCTCGATATCCCCTGTTTGGATCACTCCGTAGGATTCGCAAAGATATTTAGGAAGAAAAATATCGATCTGGATGCAGCGGTTTGCCTGCCCACCAACTGTTCGCTCTTTTGCCTCAGAGCATATGCAGGAATGCTAACTCCATTTATCATTATTACTGTTCTATCCCTCAATCCTATCACCCTGCGCGAGTTTACTCCTCTCGGTTCAGGCTGCTGCTGTCCAGTGTTTCTGAATCTGTTGGTTATGTGTGCAGAGGTATGTGGCCCTCAAGGTGCAGAAGAGTGCACAGCACTACACGGAGGCTGCCATGGATGAGATCAAGATCTTGAGGCAGATTGCCGATGGCGACCCTGAAGACTCCCGCTGTGTTGTGAAGCTTCTTGACCACTTCAAGCACTCGGGCCCCAATGGGAGCCATGTCTGCATGGTGTTTGAGTTTCTTGGTGATAACTTGCTCACCCTGATCAAGTACACTGACTATCGTGGTATTCCGCTTCCAATGGTTAAGGAGATATGCCGGCATGTGCTCATTGGCCTTGACTACCTCCACCGCGAGCTTTCCATTATCCACACTGACCTGAAGCCTGAGAATATATTGCTCGTGTCCACCATTGACCCCTCGAAGGATCCCCGGAAGTCAGGTGTGCCACTGGTGCCCCCTGCTGCAAGGGCCATCGAGCCACCTCCAAGGGCACCTGCTGCACCATCAGTAAGTAGTGGCCTCACCAGGAACCAAAAGAAGAAGATCCGGAAGAAAGCCAAACGTGTAGCTGCTTCAACTTCAGAAGGCAATGGGGCAGTGGCATCCGCTGACACGGATGAATCAGATGACAAGGGAGATCTGAGTACAGCAAATGAGGGCAGTCCTAGCGAGGATGGGGACAGGAAGAGAGGAGGGGGGCCTAGGCGGGGCAGCAAAGGGACTAGGAAGAGAATGGCGATGGAAGCTGAACTAAGCTGCAAGCTGGTGGACTTTGGAAATGCATGTTGGACGTACAAGCAGTTCACAAGTGATATCCAGACAAGGCAATACAGATGTCCCGAGGTCCTTCTGGGCTCCAAGTACTCTACATCTGCCGACCTGTGGTCCTTTGCATGCATATGCTTTGAACTTGCCTCAGGAGATGTGCTCTTTGATCCGCATAGTGGAGATAACTTTGACAGGGATGAGGTATTTCTGTTCATTTCCTCACTTTGATTTCGACTGAGAACATACTTTCAACATTATGGATTTTTACCCTGTTTATCACCTGTTAAATGATATTCCCCATTTTAACTTAAGAAAGGTAGTCATCGCGATCAACAGCTGACTCTCTGATACCTACATTCCAGCACTGTAGTTTTTCTTCCATACCCTTCATTTACTTCTCCAAGTTATTTGAAAACTGAGCCTCTTGTAGCAGGTTCTTTTTTGTTGCAAAAATTTAATAATTACAGTTAAACTTGCATTGTTATTGTCATGCTATTATATATCTCTTCTGGTTTTAGTTAAGCGTAACATCACCAATCTTTTAATGATAGCTGGGCTTGGGCTTGAAAGACGTATATGCAGTTTGGTTGCTACTGGGACTGCACAGCACAAGTCATGGCCCAGTTTTTTTTACTTAGTAATTTTGGTTTCTTAGTTTTTTAAGACATCCATTTATTCCAGCTGCACTTTATGAAAATATAATGAACTAAATAGCAGACAATGCTATGGTGTCAAACTGTCAGTAGCCATCTGGTTATGAAGCTGTCATTTTAATTATGAAATAGTCACCGTTCGCTCTTCCTTGCAATTTCTGGAAACAATTATGTGAAATACTACCGCCTCTTGAATTTGTGCTAACTTTACACACCGTGGGCTGAACTGGGATCTTGGTATTTAACCATGATAAGCTAAAGGTATTTTCAACATGTTTAATAAAGTCAGTTTGGCTTCTTTGTGTATTGTACTATTATATGGACAGCTAGAAGATGAAAACTATATTTGTTTGAGTTGAGCTTAAACTAAATCCTTTATGCTGTTTGTTCTAGTCGATTGACTGCTGCATATTCTGCACTCAACTGCTGAGTTCCACTACATATATATTACTCAAACTCTTTGGAATCTCATTTGTGAAGATCTCTTTGAAAAAGTATTCTGAGTAATCTCTTTATGATTGTCGACCATGAAAATTAGTTGGAAACACGATACAAATTATAAGTAGGCGTAGACTAAGACATGCTATTTTTTAATCAAATCGTCTACTCTTACTCTCTTTTTGGAGTTCAATCTGAGCAATTCCCACTTGAAGCAGGATCACCTTGCGCTGATGATGGAGCTACTTGGAATGATGCCTCGAAAGGTAAGGGTGTTTGCATTTTCCTTTTTAAGCAAATGCTATAATTGTTCGTAGTTTTGTGATAGATCCTAAATTGAATTTCCATTTTGTAGATTGCCTTGGGTGGCCGATATTCACGTGACTACTTCAATCGTTACGGGGACTTGAGGCACATCCGTCGCTTGCGGTTCTGGCCTCTCAGCAAGGTGCTTGTTGAGAAGTATGAATTCAGCGACATAGATGCCATTGCCATGTCAGACTTTCTCGTCCCGATACTTGATTTTGTTCCCGAGAAGCGTCCGACAGCTGCTCAGTTGCTTCAGCACCCATGGTTTGATGCTGGACCCCTTCGACGGCAGCCCAGAGCGCTGGCGGACACGGCTGAGAATCCAGTTGATGGCGCTCCAGAGAACAAAGGCAAAGAGAAAGATGATGAAAGAGATGCAATGGCTGCGGAGCTGGGGAACATCGCCATAGATGGCGCTTCTTCATCCAAGACAGCGAAGGATCCCCAAGCAGGTTCCAAGCAAAAGATTGCAAATGGTACGCCTTCTAAGAAGTGAGGTGCCATTCGGTCTACAAGAGTCGGTTTTGGGTTAAGATTGCTCCATGAGTGCTCGTTAGGTTTGTGATGTGTTAGGATATCCACCCATGCGAAAAAGAGTAGTAGGCCAGACATGTGTTGTATGAGGTTGGTCGAACAGGATTAGATTTGTTGGGGTTGATGCGGCCCCTGACCTTTTTCAGGGACATATTCTTTTGTACTATCAGAATCTGCAATTTTTTTTGAAGTTGTTTAGGAGTGAACGGCGGCGGATCATTTGTGAGGGAGTAGCTTTGTTTTTATGCGTGAACCACGTGAAAGGCGCTGTGGGTTGTGACTTGTGAGGCTGTCTTCCGGCAGGCCTGAGATACTTTTTACTGTCAGTTTTGCCAAGCACATGCGCGGTAAGTATTCCACATCCGAGTCCTATGTCTTACACGGTGATCTGTGTGGGTATTTTTTGGGTATTTTTTTATGCTTGATTGAGTCACTTCGATGTGCAATAACCACGTCCCCTAAACAGATTGATTTGCTTAATAAATTGAATAATATAAGGTGTTTATTGTGTTTTGGGTAATTTGAACTGTGCATATAATGGCTACGCCCAGGGATGTCTAACGAAAATTCAACACACTCCATGCGTTTGCAGAGTAATCTGTAACTGAATTCTGGGGCTAGGCTAAATGGCAATGCTGTTTATCTACAAAACGATGGTGCCCAGCGCAGCATCGACAGGGCAAAAGGATTGTAAGTAGAATCTCTATTAGATGATGAATCAGGCATCGGCGCCGTGCACCATCCTCTTGACCAGCGTGGCCATGTACCTGCCGTGGTGCTCGGCGAGGGCCAGCTCCAGCTCGCTGGGCGGCCTGGAGCCGTCGCCGGCAAACACCCCGCCGCCGTACGGCGAGCCCCCGCGGAGCTCTTCCATCTCGAACATCCCCTCTCTGAAGGTGTACCCGATGGGCACGAACAGCATGCCGTGGTGCGCCAGCTGCGTGATCGCCGTCCACCTGCAGACAGAGGAGACACGAACGGACGAACACGGTTACGGCTGGCCGGAGGCGAAACCACGCGATCTGGCGGCGGTGGCCTGAAAGAAAGGCTTACGCGGTGGTCTCCTGGCCTCCGCACTGGGTGCCGGTGCTGACGAAGAAGCCGGCGGGCTTGCCGGCGAGGCGCTGGCCGCGGCAGAGCGGCGCGGTGGAGTCGAAGAAGGCCTGCATCTGCGCGGCCATGGCGCCGTACCGCGCGGGGAAGCCGAAGAGGAACCCGTCGGCGTCGGGGAGCCCGCCGGGGTCCGCCACGGGGATCCCCTCCGCGTCCATCTCCGCGGCGGCCTCCAGCGCGCCCATCCTGGCCAGCACGGCGCGCGGCAGGGTCTCCGGCACGCGCAGCAGGATCCCCAGCGCGCCCGGGACGGACCCCACCCCGCGCTGCACCGCCCGCGCCAGGCGCCGCACCTGCCCGTACATGGAGTAGAAGACGACGTAGATACGGACCTGGCGTGGCGCCGGCGCGGCGGTGGCCGGGGTCGGCTCTGGCGCGGTGGTGGCCGGGGTCGGCTCCGATGCGGTGGTGGCAGGGGCCGGGATGAATGTGCGGTCGCGGCGGTGCGGGGGGAGCGGGAGGCGCTGGCCCTTGCTGAACACGCAGCCGCCGCCCTTGCCCATCGCTGCCGGCGGGGAGGGGAGCGACGCCGGTCACTGGCTCACTCTGACACGACACGTAGGAGCAGCGCGCGCGATCGGGACAAACGAACGCCGCTGCGGCCGCCGGCCCGTGCGGGTCGTAACCGCACGCGAGCTGGGCCTGTACGGCCCTTGCAGCAGGTGGGATCCAAATGCAAGCCCAGTGGATCCTGTCAGGCCCGGTTTTAGTCTGGGCCTTGCTCGGCCCGATCCGAACGTATAAACAACCTACCCACGTGAATTTACAAGTCAACCACTACCTGCTTTCCTCTGCTCCTGCACACCCGCGGCCATGGCGAATCCGGAGGCCAGCAAGCCGCCGGGACCCGACGAGCCGGCGACGGAGCGGCGAGCTGACGAGACGGTGCACAAGGACGGCGCCGGCAACCCACCTCCCCCGCCGGTAAACCGCTCAGAGCACAAGCATCCAATTATATCTGTCTGAATACTGTAGAATTCTCTGAGCGATTATTGGTCTGCAGTTCTTGGAGGTGACCTGCAGGAGCTCCGGCGAGGTGCGGCGGTTCGCGGCGGGGACGACCGCCGGGTACGCGCTGCACGCGGTGAACCGCAAGCTGGCCCCCGGCGCCCCGGCGGCGCTGCACGTGGAGGCGGCCAAGGAGGGGGAGGAGCCCGTGTGCTTCGGCCCCACCGCGCCCCTCGCCGACTACGGCCGCGGCTGGCGGCTCCAGACCGTCACCGAGCAGGACGCGCCGGGCGCGCATCATCACGCGCCACCGCCCGGAGACGAGGGGAAGGGGGCTCGCGAGAGGGAACTGCTGAGGAAGAAGGGCGCCTCCGTGTACCTGGCCAAGATCGGGCTCGCCTTCGTCTTCCTCTTCCTGCTCGGCGGGCTCTTCACCTACCTGCTCGAGACCGTCCCCGACATGATCCTCGCCTCCACTCCTCCTCAGTCCATGTAGCAGGATCTTCGATCAAAAAATTTGTCATCTTTGGAAGGGAATTCGTGTTCCTTCAGAAGTTAATGATTCTTAATCCGCTTTGCGAAGTCCGTTTTGGCGTCTTCACCCTATCAGATAAATGTCAACAGCAACTCTACCCAAGCACAAGAATGAACCAATGATAAGCTTTCCAAGTAATGGACAAACTTTCAGAAGTTCAATGGTAGAACACACAAGAAATTGTGCCTGACAGGGAAATAGACATCACAGTACAGAACGGCATGAAAATCATCAGCTGAGCATATCGAAAGCTATTTTCTTCCGCGAAAAAAGATCAACACCTATTTTGTTCATCGTTACATGTTACAATTCAACTGTTAGTGTTTATTTCCGTGTGAGGCAGTATGCTATAGTACACACCACCGCCAAAAAAAGCAGGTGAAAACCTATGGCCTAGCAGAACTCATTTGCCCTCAAGAAAAACAATGCCTGCATCTTCAGTGTTGCTGATATCCAGGCAGCTGAAAATGTGGTGTGTTAACCGCATCAGATAAATGTCCAGGCCTGGTGTATGATGACGAGCAAATGATTGGTATTCTAGTTGAACGCAGAGTTGGCTGTTCTTCAGAAATGAACGATTCCACAATAATAGTTGGAAAACGCTGAAAATTCAGTGTCAGTACACATAGAGAATGAAGCGCACGAGGGCCTCCTTCGATTTGTAGGATTTCTAAAACTGAGTAGGCTAAACACATTTCTTTTTTGGCAAACAAATCAGTGATAACTTTTTTGTTTTATATTGTGATAATGACTTCCACATACTAGAAAGCTCCCATCAGTTAACAATAACCGTAAAGAGAGCCTGTTAAACAAAGCAAAGCTCGCAAAGGAAGACAATTTTTTACTCTTATTTCTAGCAGATACGGACTTGAACGAGATACAGGCTTGAACTTCACCGTGCTCTGTGCGGATTGCCCAAACACGTTGGGCCATGTCAAGAGGGAACTCGACATCGCCTTCGAAGGCGATGGTAGCCCCATCGTTGCTCGGACTAGTCACCTTCAAGCTCACCTTAATCGTAAGAAATGGCTGTGGATTGATGGGCACCGTAACATTATACCGCTGCATCTGCCACAGGTGCACACTGCCATCGCCGCCAGCGGAGGGGTTGAGCTGCACCTTCTCCTCCTCCCAATCGTAAGAAATACATCATCGTCATCACCAAAGAGGCGGAGGCTGACCCGAACACCGACCCTCAGGCCTTCCATCATCGTCACATTCCTTGAACTATATGGAAACAAAAAGCTATGAGGCTTTAATCCAGAATTTTCACCCGAAGGCCGACCTAGCTCAGTGGTAGAGCGCGTGGCTTTTAACCACGTGGCCGTGGGTTCGATCCCCACGGTCGGCGTCCTTTTTTTCTGCCGCAAAAAAAGGGTAAGGCACATTACAAATAACACTCAAGAAAATACCCAAGAGTGTCTGCATACCGTGATTAGCAAAAACTATAAAGTGATTGATTCTCATTGATTTGGACTATTTATAGTTTTATACATGAGGCATTATAAACATTGCTTGGATCACACATCTTATAGAAGTATCAATTTTGTACAATTTTTGCTTTGGCTTCGTTTTATATTAAAGCAACGATCAACACCACTCATTGATTTGGACTATTTATAGTTTTATACATGAGACATTATAAATATTCCTCGGATCACACGTCTTACTGAAGTATCAATCCTGTACAACTTCTGCTTTCGCTCCATTTTATATATAAAACAACGATCAACAACACCCAATACAAATGCACATCCTCAAAACACACGCGCACACACATCCAAGACATGATACATAGACGCTGAATGCAACAACATCATCCCTCACGCTATAAGAGCATGCGAGGACTACAATCGTGAATACGCCACCGTAAAGAAGTGAAGTCCAATCTATCTATGGGCTCTAATGCATATTGTGATTAGCAAAAACTAAAGGGATTGATTCTCATTGATTTAGACTATTTATAGTTTTATACACGAGGTATTATAAACATTCCTTGGATCACACATCTTATGGAAGTATCAATCTTGTACAATTTTTGCTTTGGCTTCGTTTTATATTAAAGCAACGATCAACACCTCTCATTGATTTGGACTATTTATAGTTTTATACATGAGGCATTATAAATATTCCTCGGATCACACGTCTTACTGAAGTATCAATCCTGTACAACTTCTGCTTTTGCTCCATTTTATATATAAACAACGATCAACAACACCCAATACAAATGCACACCCTCAAAACACACGCGCACACACATCCAAGACATGATACATAGACGCTGAATGCAACAACATCATCCCTCACGCTATAAGAGCATGCGAGGACTACAACCGTGAATACGCCACCGTAAAGAAGTGAATTCCAATCTATGGGCTCTAATGCATATTGTGATTAGCAAAAACTAAAGGGGATTGATTCTCATTGATTTAGACTATTTATAGTTTTATACACGAGGTATTATAAACATTCCTTGGATCACACATCTTATGGAAGTATCAATCTCGTACAACTTTTGCTTTCGCTCCATTTTATATATAAAGCAACAATCAACAACACCTAGTGCAAACACACGCCCTCAAAACACACGCCCACACACATCCAAGACATGATACATAGACGCTGAGCGTAGCAACATCATTCCTCACACTACAAGAGCGCCCGAGGACTACAGCCGTGAACACGCCATCGTGAAAAAGTGAAGTCGCATATGTCAAACCGTGGGCTCCAATGCATACTGTGATTAGCAAAAACTAAAGGTGATTGATTCTCATTGATTTGGACTATTTATAGTTTTATACACGAGGCATTATAAACATTTCTTGTATCACACATCTTATAGAAGTATCAATCTTATACAACTTTTGTTTTCGCTCCGTTATATATATAAAGCAACGATCAACAGCACCTAGTACAAACGTATGCCCTCAAAACACACGTGCACACACATCCAAGACATGATATATAGACGCTGAGCGTAACAACACCATCCCTCGCACTATAAGAGTAGCCGAGGACTACAGCCATGAACACGCGACCGCGAAGAAGTGAAGCCGCATATGACGAACCGTGGCACTAGGGCGGCGCCTTCAGAAAAGGGACGACACTGGAGCGCCGCTGCCGCCCGATCTAAAGATCACAGTTTTCCCCTGGAGCAATATGACGAGCAATGAGAGTCGCGACGATGCCTTCAAGAAGATAGAGCGTCGTCGGTCCGTCCGAAGATAGAGTGGGTTTTCACCCCGGCCACCACTCACACGGCCGTGGCAACCGGGCAGCACCAAGCCACGAGCTCTACCCATGAACATTGCGGAACCACCACCAGGGCCGTCACCCCGGCATCCAAGACCTTGACACCACCTCACCCGAGACCCGTCGCTACCCCAACCAAAGATACGAGTGGAAAGGACCCGCCTTGTGCACCCCTGGGCGGCCTCAAGTGCCGAGACCCAATAGACCGGCCAACACTGGCCTCCATCGACCTGTCCTGCGGCACCGGGCGCAAGACGAGCTCGGTCCTGTCGTTGGGCGCAAGACGAGCTCGATCCTGTCGTTGGGTGCGAGACGAGCATAGTCCTGCTGCCGGACGCGAGACAAGCTCGGTTCTGTAGCCGGGTGCGAGGTAAGCTCGGTCCTGTAGCCGGATGCGAGACGAGTGATGGACCACAGCTGGAGTAGGGCCAACCCATCGACGAAGATAGTGCCGGATGCAGAAGTGAGGTATCGAAGGTCGATCCGGACCACCTACAAACGAGCCGATGCCAGAAATCTAGCCGCCGTCGCAGCTGACTCGCCAAGCTGTCGTGATGCCGGCGCGGTGAAAGGAAGCCCCCACGCAGAGGACAGAGCATGTCGCTGCCGCCACCCACGGCTGGAGCAACAACCACGCCGGGCCAGTGCCACAACCCGCGCCGCCGGCCAAAAAAAGGGAAGATCTGGTCGGCACGCTCGCTCCACCACCACCGCCACCATGGCGCCGCTGCCCCTGCCTAGCAGCAAAAGGGAAGAGCCCATGAGCCA